TACACCCCACAAAGCAGCTACGATGGTGGAGGGTAGCCCCGCTTTATTTTTTGGGGGGGGCGGTCTCTTCCTGAGACCCTGGGATTACAGGCTGTGCCACCCTTCGATGTTGTTGTTCTGGGCTCCAGGGATCGAACGCAGGACCTCCTGCTTGAGCAACAAGCTCTTTACCCACTGAGCCACCGATCAAGCTTTTATTCAGACCTTGTTTATCTCCCTTTTCATCTCCTAGTGTCCTTCTTCCTCCAGCTGGCCACTGACTTTCAACTTGAGCTCGCGGGGCAGACAAAGCTCCCCCTCCCCTATGTCCTTCAGATTCTGGAAAAGTCTGGGGGCAGGAGGACCAGGGAAAACTGTGTCTTCTGCTGTATTCACAAGCTCACTATGGTTACCCGCACAAGGCCAGGCTAGCCAGTATTCTAGTATGAATTCCATTTTATCCACTTGTAGGGTATAAGGAAATTCTTCGGCTCCAATATATAAATCCGTACCAGCCGAAAGCTATCTCATGTATACACATTAAACCCGTACATATTTATTTAAGAAAAGGGCTCATATACCATTATATAGACAAAGATGACCCTGAGCTTCTGATCCCAGGATGCTGGGGTGATGGGGTGATCCCAGGTATATGGGATCAAACCTAGCAGGCCTCATGCACACTAGGCCAGTACTCTACCAAGGGAGCTACAGGCCAGCCCCGCCCTCTCGTAAGCACTTGGACAGCTTCCTTCACTGCTCTTGCGATGCAGTGCGTTGGAACCTTAGCGTCTTCTCAACCTGATTCTGCCACACTGCTCACTGCCAGGAGGGGGGAGGCAAGGGGATTCAACCATTCATCCTGGGTTGTTCTCCAACTGAGGCAGAAACTTGGAGCATCTTCCCCTCTCGCTGGCCCCTGCTCACTACTCCTCTGTGAGAAAAAGAAAAGGCCACACTTGGCCACTTTGCTTCTTTCTTGATGATTATATATTTAAAAAAATATTAAAGATTTTTGTTGACTTGTAGAATAGTTTCTTGTGTTTGAAGCATGGTTAAATTTTAAAGAGTCTCTAAGCCAGGCATTGGTGGTGGACCCCTTTAATCCCGGCACTCGGGAGGCAGAGGCAGGTGGACCTCTGTGAGTTCGAGACCAGCCTGGTCTACAAGAGCGAGATCCAGGTCAGCCTCCAAAGCCACAGAGAAACCTTGTTGTGGAAAAAAAAAAAAAAAAAAAAGAATCTCTGAATTAAAAATGAACAAACAAAAAGTAAGATAAAGTTTAAGGATATCCAGTTTAAAAACTGGCTTCTAGGCTGACTAGTGTGTTCATCTTCCTGTTGGCTCCAGGAAAAATTTTCCAGTGACTTCCACGCTTCCTGCATCCCCTCAATTCCTTACCCTTTGATCTACTAACTTCTTTTCCCTCCCACTGTTCTCCCCTCATAAGCAGATGCTTCCCATTCAGTCTTCCCTGGATTGCACACCACTAGTTTAACTCTGTTTCTTTTGAGATAGCTAGCTTCTTACTATGTAGCCCAGGATTGCATGGGACTCACTAGACTCTCCATCCTTTTTGGAGACGCGATCTCTCACTGAACCCAGAGATTGCTGTCAAGGTTAGGCTAGCTAGCCAGGGAGTTGCTGGGATACACCTGTTTTCATTCTCCATGGGTGGTGGGGTCACAGGCAAGCACAACCATGGGTGCTGGGAATTCAAACTCAGCTCCTCTTGTTTTCACAAGGGCTCTTGCTCACTGAGCCATGTCCCCAGCCCCTCTAGTTTCTCCTTTTAGGACATATAAGGACACCTCAGAGAAATAGATAGCAGTCACTGAATGCCCCATGGCGGTTGGTGCCAGGAGCCCCACCCCCAGAATCAAGGGTCTTCAAGTCCTGTATATAAATGCCATGGTATCTGCATAGAGCATAAGCCTCCCATATAGTGTATATTAGCACTATTTCACCTAGGAAGACCTCACACAATGAGCTTGCTGCTACTGTGTCTTAGAAAAGGAAGCATTCAGTCAGAGCCTTGCTTGCAGTTTCTATACAGTCCATTGCTGTCATGATGGGAGCCTAGCAGAACGCAGGCAGGTTCTGGGACAGTAGCTGAGAGCTCCACACACAGGCAGAGAGCAGAGATGCAGAGAGAGGCGGGTCTGGAGTGCACTTTTGAAACCTCAAAGGCCACCTCCAGCGAGACACTTCCCCTAATAATGCCATTCCTCCTAATCCTTCTCTGACAACTGGAGACTAAGCACAAAAACATAGGAGCCTATTGGTGCCACTCTCATTCAGAGCACCACACAATGTTTTCTGTAAGGGACAATGACATGAAGACAGGTCACACATGAGTACGGACCCCGGCTCAACCTGCAGTCACGACAGATGCAAGTAAGACATGCAGATGAGAGCCAGGCGTGGTGGCTGGGGCTTTCAATCCCAGCACTGGGGAGGCAGAGGCAGGGGAATCTCTGTGAGTCCGAGGCCAGCCTGGTCTACAGAAAGAATTCCAGGATGGCCAGGGCTGTTATACAATAACACTTGCTATTCACTGTTTTGTATATAGTTTTGTATTAAGCCTAAATCTTTTCTTTATACTAAAAGAAAATTGTAGTGAGATAGTCCTTCTGTGGCACTGACCACGCCCATTGGGGGGTGGAGCCATGGGCAGAAGTGACCTGTGGAAGGAGGTCGGAGGAAGAGGGTGGGGGGGGGGAGCTCTCTTGCTGGCGGGACTCGGACAGGAGAGCATCGGGTGGAACTTCCTGGTGTTCATCTGTCTAGGTTGTAAGTTATTTCTCCCTGAATAAACATCTATTCGGCCTATTTGTTTATCCTGATCCTTATTTAACCACGATATCCTGACTCAGGGGGAAAAAAAAAAAAAGAAGTTGACAAACACAGGCTGTGCTAGCACACTTACAATCTCATGAGGCAAGAATGACTCTTCTTACTTGATTACATACTTTTCAGGTACATCTTAAAGCCAACGACATTTTAACTTGGGTGGTAGATAAGGTAAAATATGAAGACCAAAAATCAAAGGATATATTTGTATCACTGAGATCTTGAGATGCAACAGGAAAATGACTCCATGGAGTCTTTGTGTGAGAGGAGGGACAGAAAGAATATACATTCTGGAATTTGGGAGTGGCCTAATTTTTTGCGAGTCCCCCTGCCCTTCCTCCTTCTCACCATGAAGCCTACAACAGCCTCTGACACAAAACCCTATTGCCTTAGGCTCTCCAGCTTTGAGTGAGATTGTAGGCTATAGGTTACATAGTTACAGGTTACTACCATGTCTGGCTACTGAAGTAAGTGTGTGTGTGTGTGTGTGTGTGTGTGTGTGTAGATGAGGGTATGGTATGTATGTGTGTGTGTATAATATATAGATTTAGGTATGTATGTGTGTGTGTGTGTAGATTTAGGTGTGTGTGTATAGATGTAGGTATGTATGTATGTGTGCATAGATGTAGGTATGTATGTGTGTGTAGATATAGGAGGGGTGTGTGTATGCTTTACTTCTGGGCTGGGGCTGTAGCTCAGTGCTGGAATAATCTATCATTTATCTAATATGGTTCCAGTCCCCAGTATCACCTAACAAACCAACAAAAAAAAAAAAAAAAAAAAAAAAAAAAGTAAAGAGGAAAAAAGAAAAAGTAGTTTCACTTCTAAAACAGTACCTCTTCTGGTTTTAAGCCAGGTTATAACACTTTGATAAAGCCACCCAAACCCCCAGAGAGAGGTTCTTTAACTCAACATTAGTTAATTAATTAAAATTTGTAGCCCTAGGAATCCAAGCCAGGGCTTTCAAGAATACAAGGAAAGAAATCTATCACCAACTCAATCTTCAGCTCCTTTTTAATGTTTAAATAATATACAGGAAAAAAATGTTAAAGTCACATCCGGGTTTTTCTTTTTATGACTTAAAATTGAAAACCACTTGTGAAACAACAGCCGTTTCCTGAGTCAATCTGATGGGCCTCATCAGGCATGCCCAAATCTCTAATGCGTTGGTGAATTCAATGAAGACATTTTTGGTGACCTCTGTTACCTCCCCACCACAGCAGCCTCCTAGGCCACACAGAAGGATTGATTAGACATGGGAGGGGACGATGAGGCAGACTGACCCTCCGGCCCGGTCCTAATCCCAGCACCTTTCTTAGACGACACTCAGGCTATTTCATAAGCCCTTTTGCCAAACAAAACAAGGGCATCAAACAAACATTAAAATGCATAAGTCCGTAGGTTATCAAAAGTTTTCCAATAAAACCCTGTCAACCAAATAAATGGGTCCATGGAGCCATCTGCTTAGCGCAAGCAACTGTTGGCTTGCTTGGAACAGGAATACAAGCTACTACTACTAATAATCCCAGTGCTTTTCCAACGTCCCATCCCTGTCCGCCTCGTGCCTCTGTGGCCCTGACCCCTCGTCCCTGACCTCCCACTTTCCCGGAGGTGCATCAGTCAGGGTGCAGGACACTCGGGTGCCTGCGGCTGTGACCTCATGGGCTCGTGAACAAATGATCTGGAGCGGGACAGGGGTCAGGCCGCAGACCTGGACCCAGAGGCTGGAGAGGGTAACCCAGCTTGGCAAGGCACAGTGGATCCTAAGGAATGCCGACCCTCTAAGACCTGGTAGTGGCTAGTGCTGAGGTGTCCCATGCACTCTGGGTGAGGCGACGCGGGTTGGGGTGACCGTAGATAGACAGCCCACAAACACACAGGGTTCACAGCAGGGGCGATGAAAGGGACGCACCGGCGCAGGGCGAGCCGCCGCATGGAGACCGCCCCGGAGACGAAACGGGGGCCGCCAGGGACCCCGGGGCGCTGCCCGTGGGCTGCGGGGTCGCAGGAACCGGGGTTCTTTGACTCTCCAGGGAAGAAAGGCAGGAAGAGGCGGAGTCCCGAGTTGGAGAAATGAAGGGAGATTCCGGGAACTGGAAGCGGGGAGGCGGCCTTTGCCCTACTTCGGAGGTCCCCACCCACGTCCGTCCCCGCAGTCCCCGCACTACCTGGGCAGCTGCATCTCGCAGATCCCCTCGGAGATGTCCCTGGGGCCGCCTCGGAGCTGCTCTGGGCTCCAGGCGCTGATGCACACGGCAGGCTTGCAGCGGCCTGTGAGATCCGACCCAGGCGACCGAGGCCGAAAGGGGAGGGGCCGCGGGGTGGTGGGGACCGGGAGACCGGGAGAGTCTCCCTAGCCTCGGGGCTTCCGCGGGTCCTGCGTTTGACCAAGGCTGCACTAAGAAGCCTCTGGTTCCAAGGCGCTTGACGATCCAGGGACCAGGCACGAGGCGGGGCCGGGGGCGGAGCGAGGCCGGGACAAGGCCACCAGATTGGACACTTTCTTATCCACGAGCGTGCCGAACCCCACCCACTTCAAGTACAGTCTGGGGAGTCAGAGGTGACAGATTTGGGGGCCTGGTTTGTTAACTTGGCCTCCTGGTGGGGCTAGGTGAGTGCCTGGTAGCTAGAGCTAACTCGATACACAAGGGTTGCTTGCCAGACCCGGTGATGCGGGTGTGTGCTCCCAGCTCCTAGCAAGGCCAAGACGACAGGATCTCGAATTCAGTGCCTACCTGGGATGCAGAGCAAAACCAAGCCAGCCAGGATAGCACAGGGAGACCCTATTGCAAAATGCAAAGAAAAAGAGGGTTGGGGGGGGGAACTGAGTGTCGGGGCGCTTGAGGGTCACGGGCTAGGCCCTAGGTCCTGCCAATGAAGGCGCGCACAAGTGCGCCCGCTCTCTTCTGGGCCCGTGCTTACCTGTTGATTGTAAGCAAAAATTATAAATACCGCAGCTCACCCCGGCTTCTCCTTGGGTCTTTGCTTAACACTCCCCAGCTCCCCACCCCACCCCACCGCCCGCCAAGAAAAAATACTTTGGAGTAAGGATAACAATCCTTCCTTGCCTACCTAGGTACTGATATCTTGGTCTTCCAAAGTAGAAAGTGGGGCACCTTTCCTCAGTGTGTGCACAGTCTAAACCTGAGTGTTAAGGTGTGTGTGTGTGTGTGTGTGTGTGTGTCTGCACGTGTGGAAATGTTAGTGGGGTCTGTAAGACAAGGCGTGAGAGCTGACTATTCAGCCTATTTGGAGCAGTGAATCTCACTTTCAGGTCTCCAAGGGAAAGGTGTGTGTGTGTGTGTGTGTGTGTGTGTGTGTGGTGTATGTGTGTGGTGTATGTTTGTGTGTGGTGTATGTGTGTGTGTATGGTAGGTGTGTGTGTGAGTGTGTGTGTATGGTGTATGTGTGTATGGTATATGTGTGTGTATATGGTATGTGTGTGTGTGTGAGTGTGTGTGTATGGTGTGTGTGTATATGGTGTATGTGTGTGTTGTGTGTGTGTATGGTGTATGTGTGTGTGAGTGTGTGTATGGTGTATGTGTGTATGGTGTATGTGTGTGTATATGGTATGTGTGTGTGTGAGTGTGTGTGTATGGTGTGTGTGTATATGGTGTATGTGTGTGTATGGTATATGTGTGTATGGTGTATGTGTGTGTGTATGTTATATGTGTGTGTGTATGGTGTATGTGTATGTATATGGTATGTGTGTGTGAGTGTGTGTGTATGGTGTGTGTGTATATGGTATACGTGTGTGTATGTTATATGTGTGTGTGTATGGTATATGTGTGTGAGTGTGTGTGTATAGTATATGTGTGTGTATGGTATATGTGTGTGTATATGGTATGTGTGTGTGTGTGAGTGTGTGTGTATGGTGTGTGTGTATATGGTGTATGTGTGTGTGTTATATGTGTGTGTGTATGGTGTATGTGTGTGTGAGTGTGTGTGTATGGTGTATGTGTATGTTTATGGTGTGTGTGTGTGTGTATAGTGTGTGTGTATATGGTGTATGTGTGTGTGTATGGTATATGTGTGTGTGTATGGTGTATGTGTGTGAGTGTGTGTGTATAGTATATGTGTGTGTATGGTGTATGTGTGTGTATGTTATATGTGTGTGTGTGTATGGTATATGTGTGTGTGTGAGTGTGTGTGTGAGTGTGCATGTGAGTGTGTGTGTGTGAATAGTCACGGGTTTTGTGGAGGGATTTCCCCCCCCACAAAGATGCTTTTTTTCCCTTTAGAGACAAGATTTCTTTATGTATCTAACTGTCCTGAAACTTGAGATCTCCCTGCCACCACCCACCAAGTACTAGAATGACTAGGGAGAGATACTGCCCTCTCCTAAAGGGACATTTTCATCACGAGGGCTGACATTTGTGGAGGCCCTCTTGGTGGGCTGATCATAAAGAGGTGGCACAGTTCCTACCAGTGCCATACATTTGGAAGGCTCCTGTCTGAGGCCCTGGTTCTCTACAAAGGACATTCTTTCGGCTTTGGAAATATTTTCAGCTACAGTTTCAAGAAAGTTGCAGAAATAGCTTCAATAAGTGGGGTAAAGGTGACACAAACCTGTGCACTGAGTGTCCCTGTCCTGCATTAAAAACACAATATGTGTGTTAAAAATAGAAATATTGCAGAAAATGGGTAGGACTGGAGATCTTTGTGTTCAGCAAAACAATGCAGATTTAAAGGTACATAAATATGCAAATTTGTGTAGGTGATGGAAATAGAAAAAAGTCTATGCAATGGAACTGACAAGATTCGCTAGGCCCCTCTGTCCCCAGAGTAAACAGTAAAGAGTACTGAGAATTGATCTCAGGGGAGCCAGGCTGCTAAGAAACTCTGAGAGCAGGAACCAGTCTAATGTTCTAGAAGAGGCTCTGACCAGCTGAGGCCCCTGGAAAGAACACGCACCAACCTGCTGAGCTGCCCGCTGGCTGTGTGTGCAGCGTGTTCCAGGTTCGCAGCTCTTGGGGACTGTCAATCCTGCTGGGCTGGGCATTGGTATTGTGTTAGAGACACTTCTGCTTCTTTAGGTAACCCTCACAAGTTCCCGTATGTAACCCTCACCATGCTCCTGTATGTAACCCTCACCATGTTCCTGTATGTAACCCTCACCATGCTCCTGTATGTAACTCTCACATGCTCCTGTATGTAACCCTCACATGCTCCTGTATGTAACTCTCACATGTTCCTGTATGTAACCCTCACATGTTCCTGTATGTAACCCTCACATGTTCCTGTATGTAACCCTCACATGTTCCTGTATGTAACCCTCACCATGTTCCTGTATGTAACTCTCACATGTTCCTGTATGTAACCCTCACATGTTCCCTATGTAACCCTCACAAGTTCCTGTATGTAACCCTCACAAGTTCCTGTATGTAACCCTCACATGTTCCTGTATGTAACCCTCACATGTTCCTGTATGTAACCCTCACATGTTCCTGTATGTAACCCTCACATGTTCCTGTATGTAACCCTCACATGTTCCTGTATGTAACCCTCACATGTTCCTGTATGTAACCCTCACCCATGCTTTTGTAAGCAACTCCTATAAAACACATTGGTTGCCAAGGTGGGCTTTGGTGGTATTTATACTTTGTTCCGTCATGCCTTCCTGTTCTGGGTGAGTAGATATGTGTGTTGTGTCTCCCCAGGAAAATGCCTGTCATGCAACAGCCATTCTAAAAGATGTGCCATTATTTAAGGTGTTATTTTGAAGATGGAAAGTTGTTGGGCATGGTGTCTTTTGGGAATGACCCCAGAAACAGGGATACATTGCTAAAGCAGAGGCTTGGTTGGCATCTCTCCTAATGGAGGAAATGAAGGGAGCTCAAATGGACATTTGGGGGAAGGTCAGAGAGTCCCAGTGACAACTTCTGCTTTTTACAGGAAGTGTGTGGCAGTGTTTTTTTTTTTTTTTTCAGAGAAGGAGGCCCTGTAGCAAGAGTCATGAAAGAGATTTGTGGAGAAAGAACATTGTAGCTACGGACTGCATGTGTGTGTCAGAGGCTTCACGGAAGAAGAGAACTCAGTGAAGTTGTTTGAGCTGTTCCTTCTGTTCTTGGGACCTCTTACCCAGCAACTTCCCTTTCTTCCAGGGCAGTGGAGAGAGCCCCAAATAACATGCCTGGAGAGCTGGAGCCAGTCCTGCTTGGGTCAAATTTACATTTGAGGCCAAATCCTGGACTCTAGCATTCTCTTGGGAGGTCTGCTGATGTTCCAGATGTGTGTGCCCCTTGGTAGGTCCTGAACTTCCCCCAAACCTGCACGTGCGAGACTGGTGATAGCAGTTCCTCAGTCTCTAGGCTGAGAACCCCAGACCCCACTTGACCACATCCAGCAGATGGAGGAAGTGGATGGGGGCTGGGAGGGGTCAAATGCTCACTGGGTACTGAGACTGCGGCCAGCGTGATGTTCTGCCTTGCTGGATGGAGCTGCCACCGTTGCCCCAACCTCAACCCGAGTACGTGGCTACGATGCACATGACCTTTCCCTACCTCAGGGTCTTAAAATGACTCATTTCCTTCTTTCACTGCTTTTCAGGGCCAGCGCCACTCTCTCAGGTTGATCCTCGCCTGCCAGCCACCTTCTTGCCACCGAGTTGAGCAGATCAGCATGTGGGCTTGCTTACAGTATTGCCGTCATGTTTAGACACTGTATCTACACGGTGTCTTTCCAGAAGGACAATGGCTCAGTTTCCCCCGGGAGGTGCCTCTCCTTCCTGTTTTCCTCTAACCCTGCTACACCCTACCTTTCTACACAGTACTCTAAGTCCTCTTAAAATTACCTCTTATTCTGTGTGTGTGTGTGTGTGTGAATGCACACGTGTATACATGCATGTGCATATGTGAGTGGAGGCCAGAGGACAACCCTGAGTGTCTTCCTCTGCCACTCTCATCCTTTGAGACTCAGTCTCTCATTGGCCTGGTAGCCACCACATAGGCTGGCCGGGCAGCCCCAGGGCTGCTTCCTTAGCGTTGGGTGGGATGACAAGTGTGTACCACCACACTCGCGTGTTTACACGGGTTCTAGGATTTCACTGGGGTCTTTAGTTTTGCAAGGCAGGTCCTTGACGGATGGAGCCGTATGCTCAGAACGGCATTCAAAAACCGAAAGAGACACCGCGATGCTCAGAGATTTCAGTCCCTGATGCTTTGGGAGACTGGGCAGTGTTAGCACGGGTGTCCAGTGGAGAATCTTTACTTGGCTGGATCCGTGAAGCAGAGAGCTTGATTGGAGCCCAGGCTGGGCTGCAACCTTTGAGGGCCCATCCCTGGTGGTCTGGGGCCCTGGACTCCGGTCCTAATGCTTGCCTGGCAAACGCCTTAAGTGCTGTATGTGGTGTGTTTGAGT